TTGGGTCTTTTTCTTATATAGGCTCCTACTACCCCCAATTTGTCACACTTGGTGTCTGGTCACCCTACTTCCTCTTGGCTTCCAGGGGCTGCCTTTCCTCAACAAAGCCCGATGTGGCTTGTGTGCTGGCTAGCTGAGAGACTCCTCTGATTAGGAGACAGATCAGCCAGGAGCGAACAGCCCCCAGAATCCAGCATCTGGGGGCTGGATGCAGGTTGGTCTGGTGGTTGCCAGGCTTGGCTCTGGAGTGCACTTCCTCCAGGGGGCTGACAGAGCCCAGTTTGTTGATCTTTCGGGCATGGTCAAGGGCCCATCTGTTTCCTTTGGCTTGTGTGGGAGGAGCGGAAGGGTTGGCCGGGCTGCTGTGTCAGGGATTCTTTTCCTGATAGGTTTTTGTTCCTAAGCTTCTATCCTGCACGTTGCCCTCGTGCCTGGGGATGGGGTATCGGGAGCATCCGACACACACAGTAATTACGCCAGGAAAAGGAATCGCACATCAAATCCGCTCACCCCCACCCCCACCCTTCACATGTCAGGCCAGAGTCACCGCGCAGCTATTGGGAATAGGCCGACGCCTCCTCTCCATACTCCTCATCCTGCTCCTTGTTAACTTCAGCCTCTGCCCGGCAGGAGCTGGATATTGCACTGAGTATCACTCCCGGCCTGTGCTGCGCTGCTCTGTGTATTTCAAGAGCCCAGTGGCCCATGTTCAGCACTCGACATGCACCTGACACGTGCTAAGCTTTCCCCAAACCTAACCCATAGGGCTGCAGCAGGACTTAAGGGATGAGGGGCGGGGGGTACCAAGGCCTTGTTCTGGCACGGCTCAGGGGTGAATTTCCCCCTGAATTAGGAGGTGAGAGAACCAGGCACTAGGGCAGGGTGTCAGCCATTCAGTTGCTGGGTAGCGAGAACTGCCCTTCTCACCTGAATCCCGCAGAGGGAAGTCAGGAACTGTCTCAAGTTTTGTAATCTGCCATGAAGAGAGTCCGACTGGGAAACCTGAGCAGGCAGCGCTGAGCAAGCAGACGGGACGATTTCATCCTGGAGGAACCTGGCCCCCCTCAGAGTAATAATCCCCTGCCTTTCCTTGCAGAAACACTACACTCAGTTTGCTTTGGGGTTGGGTTTCCAGCCCGGTGGGCTGGGGCTGCCTTAGCAGCAGAACAAACGCTGATTAGCATCAGCTCATGTTGCTCTCCCAGGGAAACAGGAATTATTTGTGCTCCGGTATCTCCAACAAAAATCTCCTGTTGTTTATAATTTGCTTTATCTTTATTGGCTTCAAAGCCCTGTTTTTCTTATGACCAGTTTGATATGGCTGAGCAGGGGGAACGTTTGTGCCCCTTAGCACGTTCGCGCTGCCTCGGAGAGCGAGAACTAGGCACATCACTATTAATGCTGCCATGGTGCCGTGCTGTGCTGCCCTCGCGGCTCCCCAGTCTGCACCGAAGTCAATGGGAGTTTCTGCCTTTGACTTCAGTGGGGACAGGAGTAAGATTGCAGACCTGCTGCATGCAGGGGCAAGGGGTTGGAGCCACACACACGAACCCTCCCATAAACCAAACAATCCGACAGGTTCGAGCTGTTCCTGAGGCCCCCAGCCTGGCTGGTGCCTAGTGACTTGTCATCCCATCTGCACATCTGTTCCTCCTGTGAGAGAGCTCTGCATAGAAATCAGATCCCAGCTCCGTATTCTGCCAGCAGCAGAGATCTAAATGAGAACGGACTCAAGATTAAGCAGCGGGCACTGCCCGAGCAAGCAGCTAAACACAGCTGCTGAAAGGGAAACAAAGGGATTGTGACTCCCAGCCAGAGGCCACCCCTGTATTCCAAAATCATCGGCACTGCAGCAGTCTGCAAGGGTGGCCCTGGCTTTGGTGGTGGTGCCAGGGGCCTCTGGACAGGATCCAACCTGTACGTGGAGCCTTTGGGGGAATTCCATGGTGTGAGAGGAGCTCTTTGTGCTACCCTGGGCTGAGACAAACCCTCTTGTGCAGGGCAGGGAGTCCCAATATCCCCTCCCCTCCCCCCCCTCCCCCCCCCCCGGTATCTCAGGGGTTGGTTGTGCTTGGAAATGTACCACAACAGCTCTTCTGGACTGAGCACTCGGGTGGACACCCTTATTCCAGAATAGCTCCGTTCGTAAATTCCCAAGTGTGGACAGGTTCTCGGTGCAAGTGATCAGAGAGTGGGCGAGTGGGGGGGGGGTGCTGGAGGGAAATGGAGAGATCATTGTGTTTGCAGGGCCTCCAGGGGCTTGGGGCACGGCTGGTTAGACCCTCAAAGATAAGAATGGGGCTCTGCGATCCCTGTCCAGTGTGGGACGGCGGCTCAGAGCGGCGGGAGCAATGAACGGCTGTGGGGCTGGGACAGGCTGGCTGCACCGGCTGACTATGGCTTTTGTCATGAGCTGACTGGGAGGCCGGGCTGGGGCTTGGCTTACCCAACCTTTGCAAGAACGGCCCCACGCCTCCTCTTCGGCCCCGCAAGTGGCACCAGCGCAGGACGCGCTGTGTGTGTGCGGCTCTGAGCAGGGAACACGGTCCCGGCCTCCCTGGGAAAGCCTCTGATCTCGTGGAGCCGCTCCTGCCCTGCTGCTGGGCTGGGCTGAAGGTCACAATCATGCCGGGCTGAGATTCCAATCACAGCAAACTGGCTCGGATAAGAGCCTGGCTCGGTATGGAGACAAGAGCTAGAGAAGTTCCTGGACGATGGGTCCATCAATGGCTGTTAGCCAGGCTGGGCAGGGATGGTGTCCCTAGCCTCTGTTTGCCAGAAGCTGGGGATGGGCGACAGGGGATGGATCACTTGATGATTCCCTGTTCTGTTCATTCCCTCTGGGGCGCCTGGCATTGGCCACGGTCGGCAGACAGGACACTGGGCTAGGGGGACCTTTGGTCTGACCCAGTCTGACCCCACACCCGAGAGGAAGCCAAGGCACTGGCAGAGGGGCTTTGTGGAGCCCAGGGAAGCGGATTCCTTGGTGTCCTTCACTTTGATAGAGTACAGCTTTGCACCTGTACCCCACCTTCCCCCCAGGATCTCCTCGCATTCAGCCACCATTCAGTAGCGAACCCCACCTCAGCGCTGTGGGGCTGGTGGAGAGGCCTGTTTCCCCAAGATGACATGATTCCCTGGCAGAGCTGGGAACGGAACTTGAGCCCTGCTCCCCCTCTCCTGCCCCAAACACTAGATCCTGCTGCACTCCTCCCTTAACCTGCTCCCAGCGGTGAAACACCTGACACAGCAGCCATCACACACACACCCCAGCACTGCCTGCCTTCCCTGGGGGCGGGGAGTCACTTCCCTCTCAAGTTGCCCTGGTAGAAACTTTCCCTGATGTGTCACTCAGACCGTTCCTTCCTCACCCTGCCACCGCAGTCTGAGCCAGAGGGGAGGGATAGTTCAGTGGTTTGAGCATTGGCCTGCTAAACCCAGGTTGTGAGCTCAATCCTTGAGGGGACCATTTGGGGATTTAGGTGGGGATTGGTCCTGCTTTGAGCAGGGGGTTGGACTAGATACCTCTGGAGGTCCCTTCCAGCCCTGATATTCTATGAGCGAGACCACTCCCTTCTCCTAGGCCGGATCCTCATCTGCTGTGAGTGGCCGTGTTCCTCTGGTGACGTGGGTGGCCTTGAGCTGCTTCACTCCAGCCAAGGCTCTGGGTTTTTCCTTGCTCGCCCCCCTCTTGTCCCTGTACTGGTTTGTCATCACCCTTCTTCGTATGTTTTGTTTGGACTTTTCCTTCCTCTCTGGAGTGAATCAGGGCCCTGCTGATGGTCTCAGCTTTACCTGCTGGAGCTGGTTGCTTTTGTTTGCGCTGCCCGGGATTTCTCCCACAGGGAAGGGGAGGCGCTCCCAGCTGCTGACATGGCTGGAATCCTGCCTCTGAGCTGGCCCTCTCCCCGCTCGGTGGCGCATGCACCTGCCCGGTCAGCAGTTTCAGGGTATAGCTGTAAGGCCTTGCGGGCTGCAGCTAACGGAGAGCGAACTCCCCGTTCCCAGGAGCTGGAGAGAATCCTGGCCCAGCCCCGTTAGGTTCTGGTGCCGCACATCACCGCAGTATTAAGCACCCCTATATAACGTGTGTAGCTGGGGGTGGGGGGCAGAGGGGTCCAAGCATCAGTTTGAACTACCTGGAGCCCGAGTCTCACCTACCCTCCGGCCCTCCTATGCTGCTCTGGCAGAGTCCTGGGGCATTAAAGCAGGGAGAAATGGCTCCCCCACTCACAGCTCCTGGACTCTGCACACCCCTGCTCACAGCCTTGATGTAAGGGGCATGTTGGGGGCACTGCTAGAGCACATCACACTGCGGCTCTCCGAGGGCATTTCAGGGGCAGGGCCCTCGTCTAGAGAGAGTGCAAATGGGGCTAGACAACTCCCCATCCCCGCCCCAGGTGCAAGAACCCGGTCCCAAAACATTGTGTAACGACCAGCTGAAATCCCAGTAGGACCAGCCCAGCTCTGTGTCTTCCCGCGTAGGGTGACCAGACAGCAAGTGTGAAAAATCGGGATGGGGATGGGGGATAATAGGAGCCTATCTAAGAAAAAGACCCCAAAATCGGGACATCTGGTCACCCTATTCCCGTGGGAGACAGCTTTGGTACCGGGAGATTTTCCATGGGTGGGTTTCTTTGCTCTGTGTGGCTGCTCTGCTTCCCGCAGCCAGTGCCCCAGCTCTCCAGGGGCTGGGGCTGTTTTCCTAACAAAATGCATCCAGCAAAGAAGAGGCAAAGCTAGGAAGACATTGGAGCGGGTGAGCAGAAATGCCTGGCACCAGTCAGCCATCAGCCTGTCCCCCAGTCCCGGAGCCTGGAGCGCTCCCTTGCCAACCCCCCAGACCCCTGCCCCATCCCAAGCAGAGGAACCGGCTCCCTCCCTCCCTGTACAGTTACCCGCAGCCTGGAGATCTCACTTGACCTCTTATCTGATGACTTTGGAGGCTGGAAGATCCAGCCCCTGGGAGAGTGCATGTTTTCCCTGCCCTCTTCCCTCCCATTGGCTGGGCGGCCGCCAATAGCCCAGGTGCTAGATGGGGCGATAAGTGGCTGGGGGATATCTGGGGAAGGGCCCTGCTGCCCCTCTCCTGGGGAACTCTGCGCCCTGACCCCGCAGGTGGGGAGAATGCCTGTCCAGCCCCGGTGCCTCTGTTACTGGCTGCTAATCCCGCTCCTGCAGTGGGGTAAGGGTCCTGCTTGTGGGGCCAGGCCTGGCAGCTCCCGCTGGGCCCCTGCGGTCTGATCCCAGCGGGTTGGATGCCGAGCCTGGCTCCAGGCCTGACATGCTGCCCGGGCAGAGGGAGGCCGACCTGGCAAACCACCCCGGCTCCAGCTGCTGCATTTGTCTCGTCTCCCTCGCCCAGGGCAGGTGCTGCTGCTTTGTGACCCAGATGGCACCCTGGGGACGGTCCAGCTGCCTGGCATTGCCAGCATGAAGAGCCCAGCTCCTTGGGGAGCCGGTCCCCATCCCAGCACCCTGGCTGGTCGCCAGCCCTCCCTGCTGCTCCGGGGGGATGGGTGCCCAGTGGGGTCCCTGGCGCAGGCCCAGGGGTTCATGCAGCACTCGGCCGTGTGCACAGACCATGGAGTCAGACGAGGCAACTTAAGGGTGCGTCCCTCGGCCCATCACTGCCTCCCGCACACGCAGCCCCCACCCGGCTCCTCTGACGCCCTCAGCACCCAGCTGGGAGGTCCGAGCGGAGGGCACGAGCGCTCTCCTTGTGTCCCGTCCCTAGGGCCCCGAAGGGCTGGGCGGGGGTCGGCTGCGTCGGGCTGACGCCTGTCCTGAGGGCTTGTTACCGTTTGGGAGGGGGTACAGCCCATCTTCCTCCCCCCCCCCGCCCCCAGCAGGGCGCTCCTGGCTCTCGCGTCTCCCGTGGGTTTGGGTTCCTTTCTGCCAGGCTGTCCTGTTGGGGACCCCTCCCCACCCCAGGAGCCCTGAGCAGAGCGGGTGCCAAGCAGCTCTGAGGTGATTTGCGGCCAGTCGGCGGCCCCGGGGGCCGATCAGCATTTCATGCTCCCAGCCAGGGCCTCTCTTGCAGTGCTGAGAAAGCCCGTCCTGGGCCAAGGCACCGAGAGACACTGGGGGTCCTGGTGGGCTGGGCTCAGTGCATCCAAAGTCCTTGGGGGTGGATGGGACTGGCCCCCAGGGTTATGAGAGGGTGTGTGCCAGGGAGGGACACGCCAGCTCCTCCTGTGGCGCGGTCAGTCCCTGAGCATTTCCATCCTCTGCCTCCATCTCTGCCCTGCTAGACCCGCGCCCCGGCTCCGCCCCACCCCAGGCCTCGGAGCCGAGTTCGAGGTGATATTTGCTGCACACCTTCCTCCGCCCGGAAAATCAATCTGTCTGCTCAGGAACCAGCCTGTCGGTGCCAGCGCCCCCGATGTCGGAGCCCGGCCCCCACAGACAGCCCGGCTACAGCCGCGGGGGGTGCATCGCCTGATCGCATGGGCCCTGCTCCCCACGGGGGGTCTCCCCAGGGCCCAGGGGGAAGCCCCAGGCCGTCCCCTTCGGCATCTCCCTCCAAGCCGGGGCCTCCCCTCCGCTTGCGACAGGGCTGGGTGTGGCATGGCCTGTGGGGGCCCAAGCCCAGCTCTGCTGTGACCGCTCTCGTCTCCTGCTGCAGGGCGCGGGGAGCTGACCTACGGAGACCTCGAGGATGAAAGTAAGAGTCCCCTGTATTCACCTCCCAAGGTGGGACCCCGGGAACAATTCTGGGGGCCTGATCCTGAGCTCCCTCCTTCACCCTGTGCCACAAATAGCACCTCCCCCCCACCCTCCCGGTGTCCCCCCTCCTGCCCCTGAGGTGGGCGCTGTCAGGGATGCTGAAGTGCAGGCACCTGGGGGTCTCCCCCCAGCAGTAACCTGTTTCCCCAGAGCTCCCACCCAGTGCTGAGGGCACCCAGCTCCGTGGGGACCCCCTGCTCCTGGGGTGCCTTCCTGGAGGATTCCCCAAGGTCTTGGCTAGCGGGTAGAGCAGCCTGGGCTGGGGTGGAGGGAGACGGTGCCCAGCGCTGCTGATGGTGCCCACACAGCTGAGACAGGGGCTGGACAGATTCACCCTGGCCAGGCCCCGCTGGCTCGCCCCCTCCCTGCTCTGATCCTTCCCCTTTGCTCTTGCAGGTCATTACCTGTATTTGGAGGAGGAAGGTGAGTGACGCCCCCCCTGCACCCATCATGCCCAGGTGTCGGTCCCCCCAACAGGACTGGGGGGCTCTGCATGGGGGCACCGTGCACCACAGAGACACCCGCTGCCGCTAGACAGCAGCCGATGGTGCCTGGAGCTAAGGGGCTCTGGCTCAGCCTGGGGGCAGGCCCCCGACCCACGACCTGCTGGCACAGCCCCGTGCCAGCAGCCTGCTAACACTGATTGTTCTCCGGGCCCCGACCCTGCTAGGAGGCAAGGGACAAAGGCACTTTCCTGGATCCATCCCGCCCAGCCCAGCCCGGACTGTGGGAGCTGAGTGTCTGGCCAGGCCTCTGGGATCTCGTGGCTTAGCTGGGGCTCTCAGAACAGCCTCTCCGGGGAGCCAGGGGCTGGTTCTGATGCTGCCAGGCCGAGGCGAGGGGCACGCTCTGGACTCCGCTGGGCTGTGGGAGGGGACGGGAGCTGCGCTGCAGGGGGCAGAACTAGTGGACGGAGCTGCGGGTTGGGGTCCTTCATTCCCTCAGCCTATGTTCCTTGCCAGGAGCCGGGGTAGAGCAGGCTAGGCTGGCATGGCAGTGCCGGGGCCTCCGCCCTGCCCAGAGCTCTGCCCCGGCTCCTCAGGGGTGACTAACAGACAGATCTCTCTCCCTAGGCCCCTTTGCCGAGGAGGGCGGGTCGGCCCACTGCAGGGACACCTACCTGGAGTGGATCACCCTGTACTGCTGGACCACCTTCCACGCCACAGTCATGGCCACGCCAGAGTGGAGCCGGTGTCAGTGGGAGCAGATCGGCAGGTCTGGACGCCCGTCCGCCCCCGACAGATCCGCGCTTCCGAGGCGCTCTGGGGCTGGGAGCAGAGTGCATGTAGTGCCGGGGCACGGGCAGGTGCCGGGGGAGAGCATCGCCTCGCTGGGGTTTGCTCTTAGACGGGCTCTGGGACGCCGAGCACCCCGGCTTGGTAACGATCCCGTGGGGGAAGGGGATTTTCAAACAAGTCAGCGCTGCCGTGTGTCCTGTTTCCCTGCGCGCAGCTGTCAGCATGCTGAGAGCAGGGCGCATTGTGCAGTGCCTCTGGTGCGTGTGGCCTCCCGCGTGCAGGGGTGTGTGCGGTGCACCATCGGCTGCCTGTGGTGTCCCATGTGCGGGGGGGGGTGCGGCGCACCATCGGCGTCCTGCGTGCGGGGGGCTGTGCGGCGCACCATCGGCTGCCTGTGGCGTCCCGTGTGTGTGGGGGGTGCGGCGCACCATCGGCTGTGTGCAGCATCCCGCGTGCGGGGGAGTCTGCGGTGCACCATCGGCTGTGTGCAGCGTCCCGCGTGGGGGGGGGAGGTGCGGCGCACCATCGGCTGTGTGCAGCATCCCGCGTGGGGGTGTGTGTGCGGCGCACCATCGGCTGTGTGCAGCGTCCCGCGTGGGGGTGTGTGTGTGCGGCGCACCATCGGCTGCCTGTGGCGTCCCGTGTGGGGGGGGGAATGTGCGGCGCACCATCGGCTGTGTGCAGCGTCCCGCAG